TTGAAGGGTGTTCCTTCTATACCCAGTTTTTAGAGGACTTTTATCATGAAAGGATGTTGAATTTTATCAAATGCCTTTTCAGCATCAATTGAAATGATAGTATGGTTTTTATCCTTCATTCTGTTGATATGACATATCACATTTATTGATTTGCATATGTTGAACCATCCTTGCATCTCAGGGGTAAATCCCACTTGGTCATGATGAATAATCTTTCTAAAGTATTGTTGAGTTTGGTTTTCTAGTATTTCATTGAGGATTTTTGCATCAATATTCATCAGCGATATTGTCCTGTAGTTTTCTTTTCTTTTTTTTTTTCTAGTTTTTTTTTTTTTTTTTTTTTAATGTGTCTTTGTCTGGTTTTGGTATTAAGGTAATACTGGCCTCGCAGAATGAGCTTGGAAGGATTCCCTCCCTCCTGCATTTTTCTGAATAATTTGAGTAGGATTAGTATTAGTTCTTCTTTAAATGTTTGGTAAAGTTCAACAGTGAAGCCGTCGGGTCTCCAGTTTTTCTTTACTGGAAGACGTTTTATTAAGGCTTCAATCTCATTACTTGTTATTGATCTGTTCAGGTTTTGGATTTCTTCCTGCTTCAATCTTATTAGGTTGTATGTATCTAGTAATTTGTCTCTTTCTTCTAGATTTTCCAATTTGTTGGCATATAGTTGCTCATAGCAGCCACTAATGATCCTTTGAATTTCTGTGGTATCATTTGTAATGTCTCCTTTTTTAATTTCTGATTATATTTATTTTGATCATCTTTTTTGTTGTTGTTAGTCTGGCTAAAGGTTTGTCGATTTTCTTTAACTTTTCAAAAAAACAACTTTTTGTTTCATTGTTTTTTCATTTCAATTTCATTTATTTCCACTCTAATCTTTATTATTTCTTCTACTAATTTTGGGTTTGTTTTGCTCTTGCTTTTCTAATTCTTTAAGATGTATCATTAGATTGTTCATTTGAAGTTTTTCCTCTTTTTTGGTGTAGGCACTTATAGCTGTAGACTTCCCAGTTAATACTGCTTTTGCTGAATCCCATAGGTTTTGGTATGTTGTGTTTCTATTATCATTTGTTTCAAAAAAGTTTCCAATTTCTTTCTTAATTTCTTCATCGATACACTGGTCATTTGGGAGCATATTGTTGTATTTCCATATATTTGTATAGTTTTCAAAATCCCCTTGTTATTAATTTCTAGTTTTATTCCATTGTGGTCAGAGAAGATGCTTGATATTATTTCAATTTTTTAATGTTTTCAGATTTGTTTTATGACCTCACCTATGGTCTGTCTTGAGAATGATCCATGTGCTGGGGGAAACAATGCATATTCTGCTGCTCTTGGATAAAATGTTGTGTGACTATCTATTAGATCAATTTGGTTTCTATTGCAGATTAAACTGATATTTGTTGATTTTCTGTCTGGAAGATCTGTCCAATGCTGGAAGTGGGATGTTGAAATCTCCATCTGTTATTGTATTGGAGCTTATCTCTCTCTTTAGCTCTAATAACATTTCCTTTATATATCTGGGTGTTCCAGTGTTGGGTGCATATATATTTAAAATTGTTATATCCTCTTGCTGAATTGATCCCTTTATCATTACACAGCGACCTTCTTCATCTCTTCTTATAGTTTTTGTCTTGAAATCTACCTTGTCTGATATAAGTATAGTGACTCCTCCTCTTTTTTGGTTTTCATTGGCATGGGATATTTTTTACATCCCTTTATTTTCAGTCTATGCATGTCTTTACAGGTGAAGTGTGTGTGTGAGAGACAGTGTGTGTGTGTGCGTGTGTGTGTGTATTCAGTAGGCAACAGATCAATGGGTCTTGTTTTCTCATCCATTCAGCCAGTCTCTATATCTTTTAACTGGAGAGTTTGGTCCATTCACATTCGATGTTATTATTAAATAAGGACTTACTTCTGCCATGGAAATTCCTTCTGCACACATGCTTCTATAACCAGAATAGGGAGCAGTAGCAGTGTCCAGCCAGAAATAATTACTCTGACCTTAAAGGAATCATAGTATTTCTGGCTGCAACCTGTTATAACAAGCCACCTCAAATGTAAATGTCAAAGGGGTGGAATAGTGTAATCTATAAGATGCCTGGAAGAAGAAGAAATGAAATATTCTGAATAGTGTTACTGTTTCTTCGTCTTATTGTTCACTTTAATGAGAATGCCTCTAGGTTTTAGTACCAGGCATAATATTTGTTTTTGTAGTTGTTGATTTGTGTAAAAAGTCTTTTTTATCATACTAAGTGAGTTATCATTTCTTGCCATGGGTTTTTATTAGGAAGGAATGGCGAATTTTATATTTTAATATTTATAGAAATAGGTGCTTATATTTTTTTCTTTTAATCTGTTATACAGTTAATTATATTAACGGACTTCCTATTTCAAACTATTCTTGCATCACAGAGGGAAAACCCTACTAAACTACAGTTTATTATCATATTGTTATAAATGTTCTGGATTTGATATATTTCAAGTTTTGGGGGGTTTTTTTCATCATCGTATCTGAGATTGGGCTACATGCTTTGATATTTTTGTGCCATCTTTGTTGATGATCTATTATAACAGTCAAATAAATCTACTGGATCTGGTACCTCTAAAAAGTAAATTTTAAATTTTTTTAAATTCTTGTATGGTTATTGATTTATTCAGATTGTTGTCCCTTTCTTAAGTTAATTTTGGTTAGCATAAACAATTTATTCCATCTAGATTTTTCTTGAATGCCAAAACTGTACATGGTCATTTTACTTATATTTTTAATCTTTATCTATGTTTATATATCTTTTATCATTCACAATATTTGCTTTTCTGTTCTAGGTGAATGTGTATTAATTCTTCAAGACTGGTTTTGGGTCAATTTGCCAAAAATCAAACTGCAGAAAGCCAATTTTCCACAAGGACAGTTTGCCAAATTTTCTTCTTCCTTAGAACTCTTTATAAAGTTTACAGCAATCCACATTGAATGAGATCTTTTTAATAGCTTTTAAAGATTTATGTAAACTTTTAGTTGATCAGTTTTAATTTTGTTTTCATAGCAGCATTTTAAGGAATGTTTAATTTATCTTTACCCAGCTTCCTGCTGCTGCAGCTGGAAAGAGCTGGGGACAGAGATAGGAGACCTCTGCTAGGGGCAAGATGGGAAGGAGGCTCAGCTCATTTGCTGATTCCAATGAGAGAGAGGATGTGGGTCATAAAGAGAAAGATATATTCAGGGAATATATACTCATACAGAATATGTCCCCAAATATAACCACTTTGCATAAATACATTCTTCATAGAAATAAGAAGTAGCCCCAGCTTCCTCCTTTCTCGGTTTCCCAGGCATTCCGCCCCTAGTCTCTTCCTAGTCTCTTTTCTCCCTGCAAGGGCTGTGCTGTGTGCTGGTTCTGCTCCCCACCTCTCCCCCATGTACTCACTCACTTCCTGCTCCTTCCAGCATAAGCAGCAAGGAGCTGGGGCAGAGACAAACCCCACATTCCATGAAACACTATTATGGAGACCCAGTGAGAATCGGGCCATCTAAACTAAATAGAGAAAATAACAAGTACATTAAGACAAGTGGTGAATCGGTGATTTGGACTCTTTTTCTCTAGGACTTGAATCACATGACTCTCTCCTTGGCTGATTTGGTAGCTCCATTCTCTGGGGTCCCAGAGTGCCTTGTTGAGACCTCCAATACCTCACTTAGAAGTGATTTAAAGATATAAACATTCTATCTCAGTTATTTGATTTCATTACCAGCTCAATTTCTAGACTGTTTATTCATTCAGTAACTACTTAATGAACAAAAATTTCATTAAACAAATGTCCATTTAATGAAGAAATGTGAGCTGACTGCAAGCTGGCAGTATGAGCTGAATATGTGCTGCAAAGTGGCATAGATGCTGAAGATTAAAGTTAAATAAAACCTGGTCCCAGTCCAGAGCTCACAGGCTAGAGGTAGCAGGGACCAAGTCTTAGATATCTTCATATCCACTGTGTCCCTCACATCGTGGCTGTCATAGAGTCTATGCTCAATAGAAGTTCTAGGTGTATTGAAGGCATGTTTCCACTAAAAGAACTAGAACTACAAGTCCCAAGTACAGTAATTGGTGGCTGTAACTAACATTTTAAACAGCAGAAAGTAGTCAAGTCCAAGAGAGTTTATGAGCTCTAAAGGCTACATTTTCTAATTTATCAAAATATTTTACAAAAACAGGACAAATTTAAAATTGTTTAGTGAGATACATGGTAGTCAGAATCTTACAACAATGAACAAAGCTGGAATTGTCCTTATATTTAACGTTTGGATCCTGAAACAAGCTACCTGCCTTTCCATTTAAACTTCAGCAATAATAATTCAATAGCTATGCTTAAGGTCAGTTAGGACATATTAAATGACCTGTTGGGTGTAAACTCATCAAAAAATGTTTATTAATTCAGCCTTAATCTAGTTCAAAGCATAACCTATCAGTCCCAGGGTGATCCAAATTAGTGTTGATTCACTCCAGATTCCAGGTCTTATAGCTTCCACATGGCTGATCAAAAACACCCAGAAACACATGATAATTTAGGAAGTTCAATAACATATACAGCAGAACCATAATTAAATTTCATTCAAATAAATCCTACCCTCAGGATTTTTGAAGACTTGTAAATTCGTCTGGATATTTAAAAACAGAAACCATGTTCTCAGATGTTCCCCCAAACAACTCTTTTTAAAATAACCGTCTTTCAAAACCTGGTATGGGGTTGAGCACAGTGTCTCACACCTGTAATCCCAACACTTTGAGAGGCTGACGCAGGAGGATCACTTGAGGCCAGGAGGTCAAGACTAACCTGGGCAACACAGGGAGATCCCATCTCCACAAAAATAATTTTAAAAATTAGCTTGGCATGGTGGCACGTGCTAGTAGTTTCAGCTACTCCAGAGGCTGAAGTGGGAGAATCACTTGAGCCCAAGAATTCAAGGTTACAGTGAACTATGATCATGCCACTGCATTTGAGCCTGGGTGACAGACCAAGACCATGTTTCTTACCCTAAAACAACAACAACAAAACACCTGGTACTGATTATATCACTATAGGTGTATGATAACAATTCAAAACAAATAAGTAGTCTTCCTTCTGTCTGTCATTCTGTAACAAATAAATAAAAAATAAGAAAATAGGTAGTAATTAGGATTGTGTTTTAGTGAATCCTCAGGTAGTGTATTTGTTAGGCTGAATAATGGCTCCTCCCAAAAGATATCCATGCCTTAATCCCTGGAACCTATGAATGTTACCTTATATCACAAAAAGTACTTTAAAGATATAATTGAATTACAAATTTTGAGATGGGGAAATTACCCTGGATCATCCGGGGGGATAATTTTTATTGTAGTTATATTTTATAGTTGTATTATAGTTATACTGTCTAAATATAACTATTTCCTTTAGAGGCAAATAGTTTAGGGTAACAGATTAGGGTAAACAGATTAGGGTAAATTCTGCAGTCAAGTTGATGTGGAAGACAAGATTACCTGGATAATAAGAGTCAACATTATCTGCTCCACATTTCCTGAATGAAACCAGAATTATCTGACTTCCTACTTTGGCTCAAGGGCCAAACTGTGCCTCCAGGCCATCACAACCAGTAACCATGCACAATTGGCTCACTGATTCCCGTAAAGCAACTCATATGCTCTGAGTTATGACTAGATCTATTTCAGGACTTGTCACATTGTCAGGCCAGATTTCCACAATACAACCCCTGAGCAGAGCCTCTAAAGATGGAGATTCCAAAGACCTCTTTTATCCTATTGAATGCACAAAATTTTTGGAGCAAGCCCTCTACTCTCCACCACTTAGTCAGGGAAGTTCCAAGAGGTACAGCTTTACTTCCTGAGTTGCTTTGGATGATCAGACCATCCATCAAATTCCCAGCTGTTCTCACCATCATCCACTCCAAAACTACATAATTTAGACTACTAATTAAATCTCAGGTAAAAGCTTTAACTTTATGCCTTTGTAATTAGGAGACATTTTTATACACACATGCATATTCCAAAACACTTTTTAATTAAAACATTCTGGGGGAAATATCCTTACTTTCCATTTTGGAGATGGTGCAAAGTATTAAGAAAAGTTTGATTTTGCTCAGAGCATTCCTGTTTTAAATCAAACTAATTTTTCCATTGAATATTCTAAGAGTGATTTGCCCACCCTTAATGTACCTCAGCCAGAAACATGTTCCCTTTGAAATTAATCCCAGCTTGTGAACATTGAAAGGTGAAGACCGTAAGGAATGTAATTTCATATTAGTGGTTTCTGTGACTAGATAAACATTAATAATGTTTTCATACTGGCCTAGAAAGTGATTTAATTTATTAAGTGCAGTGGACATATGGTACCCTGTTTGCATTAGCTATGCCCAGTACATGAAAAGAAATCACTAAGTAGAATTCAGTTACCTACTTTTTTTCCCTAACTCACTATATTTTATGTATGAATTTGCCACTGGTAATGAAGAGCTCCAGCTAATATGAACAATGGCAAGAGAAGTTATACCATTAAATGTATAGGTTCATAAATGTAGCATATAAAAATGGATGATTTGCAATTCAATTCTACAAATATTGTGATAATACTATGTGACAGGACTTATAGCCTGAACTGGGGATAGAGAAGTGCATGAGCCAGATGCAGCCCCTGCCCCATAGACCTTAGGGTACCACTCTTTGCCAGAACCATGGTGGAGGTAATGGGGCATCTAAAATGGATTGCCTTCCTCAATATCCATTCCAGCCTCCTTCCAGTACTCCTGAGTTTGGAAAGCTAGAAATTACATTTCCCAGACTCCCTTATAGTCAGAGTTTAGGATGTGGTTGGGATTCCACCATTCAGATGCACTCAAAAGACTTGGATTGTAACTAAATTAAGTGGAGACATGGCTTGCCACATAATTTGGAAGAGCCAATATAAAATTAAAGTGTGAAGACCCTTGTACAAAAGGCAGGAAAAAAACTTTTTCCTCCTGTCTTCTTCCCCTGGTCTTTCTCACCATCTATCAGGGTGTTTTGTTTGTCTGTTTTTTGCTATTGAATGTTATAGTCCCAGAAATGTGAGGATACTCAGATATGAGGGCAGATCCTCACCAGTACTTATAATCTGGCGTATGTGCAGCCCACTGGCTATAAGGTTTCCCTCCTACCTGCTGCAAGACAAAAGGCTCCACAAGTTCAATCAGGCATCTTTTTCCTTCCACTGGCCACAGCAACTCAAGGTTGTTGGGTGACCCCCGAGAGTACTGTCACCTTCATGTATAGATAAATGAGACAGTTGGATGGAGACAAGAGGTGTACCCTCACCAAGTCACCCACTGAATGTTCCATGATGCTACCAGCCTGGGGCAAGGACTGCCACTGCCTTGCCCTCTCCTATCCTGTCTTGCATAGAGATGCTCTGGGAGCATGTGCCTGACTCTAACTAACCCCAATCTTCTTCCTATCCATGCCTAGGGCTCCACCAGAGGTGGAGGGAGGCAGTGATTGGTGGACCATGCCCAGGAAGGGGACGTGTGGGTTAGAGGAGCTGTTGGCTGAGAAGCTGTCACAGGAAGGTGGCAAGAAGAAGACCTAAGGTCCCCCAGGACATACTCTATTGTCCCCAAGGACATCACTTTTAAAACACAAATTAAAAGACAAATTTTTAAGAATTTCATCATGGTAGCCACAGAGCACTAAACTCCATGGATGGGGGCCCAGAAAGAATGCATAGATCACCTGCTCATGAAGCTGGTGCTTCGTGGAAAGAAAGCATTCCATTTTATGCCTGCTGATTGTGGCATCAAGGATCTCCTGTTATCAGTTTCCTGCCAAAATGTCAGGAGGAGATTGTGAGATTCTTGGCCACGCAAAAGTTGGGTGATTTTGGAAATGGGGAGTTTTTCCTAGAAACATAGCCTAGAGCCTGCTCTTTTAGCCACTTTAATGATTTTCTAAGCCATCTAATAGCTGGTAATAATTTCCTTAATACTTAGCCCAACCAGAAAGTCTTAATTGCAAATAACAGAAACCACAGCTGATAATTCTCTCTGGAGAAGCATGAAATAGACGTCAGAAGAAAATTGACTGTAGTGGTGGCCACCATTCCAAACAGAAAAAAAAAAAGCATTTGATATTGCCGAAGGTCATTCAGTGCTAGAAGAAAAATCATTTATATTAAAGGAGAGGCATCATGGAAATGGAATAGCAGTGTCATTCCTAGCTGCCCTTTATATTCCAAGAGTTGGAGAGAATTCTTGAAGCAGACCAGTGATTAGCAAGTGGGCACAGAAACAAATTGTATCCTTGCTCAGAAAAAAAGTAGGAATCATCCTTGTGATATAGTAGGAAAAACATGAGCTTTAGATTTATGTAAATCGAGGTTTGAATCCAGGCCATCTACTTTCTCTGTTACCTTCGGTAAGTAACTTCTCTAAGTCTCAATTTCCTCAAATTGTTCTTCTAGGGTAGTTAGAGATAATATAGAAAAACAACCCAGTATAATGTCAGATACACAGTAGATATCAATAACTACTGAAATCATAATAAAATCTGAAATTGGTACATAGGACGATGTGGATGGCTTTCCCAGGTCACTATTGCATCTGGGTATATTGTCCAAGCAGAACTTCTGTAAAGCAATACCATACGAAATCTCCATGGGATTTATTGGCATCAATCTCCCAGTCTTCCACCTACCCATCTACCCCCAGTCAACTCACCCATACCCCTATCCCAAATAACCATCTACCCTCTCTCCCTTCTAAAATTGGCACGTAGAATTCAATATTAAGAATTCTCAAGATTAAGTAGTAGCTCTATCTATCATATCAAACCACAAATTAGAGAAATGATTTACTCCAAAATGAAATTCATTTAAAACTCATATAAAACTTTCTCCTCCCAAAGTTGGATCTGCTTTATAACAATTGCAGGGATGCTAAGGATCTCTGTATGTTTGGGAATCTCTTCATGTCAACTCCATCCACCATACTGAATATTAATCAGAAATCTTTCTCTACCTTTGCATGTGCTATTTCTGCAGCTTGAGTTTTCTTTCCCTGGTTGGTGTGATACATTCAAGACTCACTTCACATTTCTACTCCTCTTTCTATCCCAGGGCCCCGAGACAGCAGATTTCACTCTTCATTACCAGCACAGAACCTTGCGCACACCTCTACACAACTCTTCCTATAGTGAATTTCAAGTATTTGTTTATATTTTGTCTATCCATATCTATATTTTGATATCCTTGTTGGCAGAGACCATACCTTGTTTATGTTTTTTATCTAATGCCAGCTCAGTCTTATGCATAGGGGGGCCTAATTCATACTGAGTTGATCTACAACCTTAAAAGTAAGCCCAAGCCCTTTACTCCCAACTTCACCCCATTGGCTCAGTCCAGTGTTCTACTCTTCCATTATGATCAGCAGCCCCAGGCATCCTTTCTACTCTTATCAGCTCCACTGGATACCCAGGTCTCACCTGGTCTCAACTACCACTCATGCCTCTGCTCTGTCCTTTACCCTCACAGAAACATATCCCGGCATTTATAAATATGGGCAGAGAAAGATGAGGAAAGGGAAAAAAAAGAGAGTTTAAAGAAAAATGAATGGCATGGTCAACAATGAGAAATGTAGTACGAGATAAAGAGAATGGTTGAAATGTGTAATGTATTGAGACCTACTGTGCTCCAAGCTCAAAGGAGATGTAAAGGGGAGAGAAATCAACAAGGTAGAAGAGCCTCTTTCCCTCTACCTTGCATCCTACTATGGGGCCTTGCATTCTACCATGCTGTATGTGCTGCAGACAATCAGTAAGTAACCAATGTAATTACAGCTCACGAAGAGTGCCACAAAGGAAGGAGGCAGGGAGATAAGATGATGATGATGACAATAATAGTAAGAAGTTACCTATAGTTAGCCCAAAATAGCTACTATATGTCAAGCCTTGTTTTAAATGCTACCAGTATCTAATCTTGCTTAATCCTTACAAGCACCCTAGAAAACAGGGATAATTATTTTCTCCTTTGTAGATGAGAAACTGAAGCACAGAGAAGTTAAGTAACATCTTTCAATGGCTAGCTTTGCTTAATGAGCAACTGAGCTATAATTGTTAAGAATGAGAAAATCAAATCTGATGTGTCATGGAATAAAAGTTTATTAATTAACTTGTAACAATTTCAAAAATCCTTTTTAGCAATTTTGAATCTTAAAGTTATATTAAATTAAGTAATAGATATTTATTAAATGTCTGGGCCATTTCTAAGTCAGTTAAAACACTGAAACACTAATTATTAAGCATAAATTTAAGTTTATACATTTTGATATATTTTTATGTGGTATGGATAAGCTAAATATATTTGGGTTTGTAAATAAACATGAAAATTTTGTTGTGAGGAAACATGTTTCTGAAAATTATGAAATGGTTACCATTGACAAAATATTGATATAAAGCAGTTCAAAACTGCTTATGTCCTAGGTTTTCATGATAAATTAAGGTTACTAGAGTTTTAAAAATCTAATTAACATATGGTAATTAAAACAACTCCTTACGCAAGGAAAGTAAGACATGTTTTTGGTAAGTGAAGCTTACATGAAAGATGTGTTTTAGTTAAGGGAAGCAAAAGGAATTTTCGTCTTAAAACAGGATGATTAGTTGTCCCAAAATAAGAAAGAGAAAAGGTTGTGGAAAGTTTATGAAAGATGAATCTTGTGAAAAGAATTTTATGTGCAATTAAGCTGGCTAAAATTGGAAGGGAATTATAAGTTTTTTCTAAAAACAGCATTACTATCAAAGTTGTACTAATACAAAATGAGAATTTGGTTTTCTCCTTTAAACAAGATTTTTCTGGGGCATAGGTTCTCAGCACCTCCTGAGACTGTATCAAGGGAAAAATATTTTTAAAGATTTTTCTGTAATAAGAGATAGTAAAAGATTTTTTGTTCACCTTTTGAGTAAACTGCAAAAGGTGAGAGTGGGAGGGGAGAGAAAGAGAAACAGATTTTACGTGCTTCATGATGTCTTTTTTTAGGTCTTTTAATTATTTGGAAAATTAGGTCTTCCCTCTAACAAAGAGTAAAGGTTTTTGCTTTTTAAAACTTTTAATTATCAATTTGGCTAAATGATTGATTATTATTTCAGAGTGATCTGTGATCCTATTTTGATCAAGTGTTTTAAACCTTTGACATATTTGACAGGCTTCCCAACATAAAATTTCAAAAGAAAAAATAAGCCTTTTTGACTCCAAACTAACCTTCAGATGCTACAGAGAGCCCTTGAAGCATTCAAAACAGATATAATAAATAGGCTTATTTGGTATGTTTAATTATATGGGAAGCATTGTCAAATAAGAAATGATGTTTAGCCTTTTCCTGAGTTACATCATTTTCCAAAAATAGTATGAGATTTCTAAAATTCTGACATGTCATGGTATATGTTATCAGTCATGATATTATGATTATTATGTTAAATTATTGTAGGCCACAGACAGAATTAAACTTTCTTGTCAATTATGTCTTTAGTTATAACCATTTTAAGTCTTGTTGTCCTAGTTAATTGATTAATTCTGATGCCTTTTCTGAAAGCTCTTTACAAGCAATTATTATCCTAAAGTGTTATATCTTCAAGGAGGTACATGGAAAGGATGGAAAGGACCCTGACAAGCACTCCTGAATACAGATTTCTGATTACTTTAGGATCATATCATTTGGATTAGGTAAGAATTCTCAGAACTCTAATGAAGAAACTGGTTTATAAAATTGTTTACCCAAGCAGACTAGAATTAATTAAATACCAAGGAAATATGGTTGCAGATTTTCATACTAAGTTTATAAGTACTGAAATTGTTAAGATACACAATTCCAATAAATTCCATGGTCCAAGTCAAATTACCTATGATAACATATTTAACAAAGAGTGCTACACACCTGAATTAGAAAAACAAAACTGGAATGTAAGAGGATATAAACCCAAGGTTAAGCATGGACTCATGGAGCCTTGACTGCTTCCTGAGTCCCTAAAGCTTCATTATAAGCTTTGCACTCCGTGACTCATCATGGAAGAGATATAGTGATCCAAATTATGGGAAAAAATATTGGTGTGGTGACTGTTCGAAATTTCTGTAATGGTTGATGACCAATTTTTGATTTGTCAAAACCATAATCCTGATAAGACAACCAAAACTTCAGGTACATTTCTTCAATCTGATGGGTCACTTATAAAGGGATTTCATTCAATTGCCATTTTCTCTGCATGTTTTCTGATTGTACAGAAGCTTTCCCATATAGGAAGGCTACAAGAGTAGCTAAAAAGTTATTAGAAAATGTGTTTCCCTCATGGTGTATTCCTGGAGAAAATTCCAGCAATAGATCTACTTGTTTCACTGGACAAGTGGTAAAACAGTTAAATAAGGTATTATGGATACAGTCACATTAAGCAAAGCAAACTGAATCAACTGGATTGCCTCAGTCAAAGATATTATAGATTGATTACAATCAAATCCACTTCCAATGGGAACATAAGTTGATCCCCTAGGGAAGAGTTACTGGAAGGCCTATTTCCCTAATAATAGAAACTCATTTATGTTCTGCTTCTAACGTCTGATATGACTAAATGCTGCAAAGCTTTAATGCCTATGCCAAAGTGTATTTTCACCAGGTAAAGGAAACTTTTCATGATTCACCAACTTAAGACAATCAAACCCTTCATGATCTACAACGTGGAGACCAGGTTTTCTGGGAACGATAATAGAGGAAGACTGCCCTTGCCACCAACACTGCAGCAAAACGTTGGGACATTGAACCTTGGGCCTGTAATCACACAACTCAGAGTGGCCCTTCAGACTCTTGGAACTGTACACCTGTAGGAGACCTTAAGGTGCAGCTAATCAGGGAAGTCTCTCCCCAGAAGCAGACAGCATCCTAGACATGGACAACTTTCCCAAGATCATGGATCAAGAATTCTCTGTCATCAGAAAAATTTTACCTCTCTTAGTTTTTTTCTTTTCCTTGCTTATGCCTCTATGAACAATATAATTGGGAAAGGGGCCTTGTGTGCACCAATGGAGTATGCTTTTATTTGTGGAGGATTTTGCAGCCAACTTTATACCTGAGCAACTTATGCCTTGATGGATGGAAGATGAAGGGCCAGTATGGGCTAGAAATTTTAATAGTACCTTTGCTGCTCCATGATCAGTCAGAAACAGAACATTTGTTCACTCCTCTTAACCTACATCTTAGGTTAAAAGAACATTGCCAGGAAGTCTTCACTCTTCTGGATGGGCATCATTTCTTAGGTCTCTTTTCCCATGGCCTGCATTAAATATAAATGAGGTAATGCTTACAAATATATCACTCATAATAGGCTCTACAGCAGGTTCAACTGCAAAGACTGTGGTTGCACAACAGACGTCTTTAAATTCTCTTGCTAACGTTTTATTAGGTAATAAAATTGCTCTAGATTAACTATGAAAAGAGAGGAATCTGTGCAGTTTTTGACACTTCTTATTACACATAGATGAATACATCAGGTATTATAGGGACTCAGTCACAGGGGATTAAGCAACAAGCTGCTTAGTTAAAATAGGTAGATTCCTCATCTGGTTCGTTCTTTGATGTATTTGATTTTGATTGGTTTTGTTCAGGGGAAACCTGGCTAAGAAGTATATTCCAAACTCTTGATATTATCCTTTTGATAGCCATAATAGTAGTCTCCCTGATGTGCTGTATTCTCTTAAAATTTTTAAAGGTGTACATGCAGCCATCTGTAGAATGCCAAGTGGTCCCTCTTCAACTAGAACAACAAAAACCCAAAGACATGTGATCATGAGGACACTACTGTAACTTACGACTGACTTGTTGAGACTAGAACCCCAAAATGATGGTAACTAAGAATAGCAATAAAGCTCTAAGTTTTGGTCATGCTCTCATCTAAGATTTGTTAAACAAAATTATGGGAGGCCACTGGTTTGAACTGAACTCCTGCACTAGGCCTTAACAGACTACACTAACCCAACTTGGAGTCACTTATGCTATGTTCCACATAATCAAACCAAAGCCTTAAAGAAGCAAGGAGATCTCAAAACAGATGGGAACTGAGACCCAATAAGACTTGTGAATTCTATACTGAGACCAAATAAGTCTGTCCATTTACAATAATGACAGAAAGTGACATTATGCTTAAAGTTTATGGTATAATTGAGAGGTTGAAGGGGTCATTGTTAAATTCAGTTTGGCCTAAAGCTGCCTCCCTACATATTTTAACTTTTGCCTAAAGGTTTCTCCATGCATAGTGAGCTATAACCTAACTTGATATGTAAACAGACTGTAACCTACTCTTGTAACAAGTAGCTAATCACAGGCAGCAAACTGTTCAAACCAGGTTCAAATAAGACAAACACCCAGCTGTAACCAATCCAACTGTTTCAGTACCTCACTTCCATTTTGTGAATGTCACATTCCTTTTTCTGTCCATAAATATGATCTGATCATGCTACAGCACCAGAATTGCTCCGAACCTATTTTGGTTCTGAGGGCTGTCTGATGTGCAAACCATTCTTTGCTCAATTAAACTCCATTAAATTTAATTTGTCTAAAGTTTTTCTTATAACAACTGAATGGGATCATGAATTCTGACAGATATGAAATTCCACTGGTGCAAAACATTAGTAAACATGTTTAATGAAACTCTTATGAAGAAATAACATGTTCATTCCAAAACACTGGCCCACACCCTGAATATTGTAAAATTCCATCTCCTTTGAGAGACTCTAAATGGTTGTGTTTCTCCTCATTAATAATAAAGATAAGAAGGACAATCTATATCGCATTGGATGGGTTACTTGCATCACTCAAAATGAGTTTAATAATTTACTCAGTTTTGAAAAGTAAATTCAGTCTTCTATCAAAGGTTAAAATTTGTTGACCTATGGGTAATTATAAAAGAAAACTTTCTTAAAAGAAGACTTTCTTAAAAGAAACGTAAGCTCTACTGGGCAGAAAAGACTATGTACTGTGAATTAAAGAAAGATTGTATTATGGTTAGAAAAAAATTTAGAACTAAGTACGTTATACTAAAATACCTAAAGATTATATATGGCAGGCCAGGCATGGCGGCTCATGCCTGTAATCCCAGAACTTTGGGAGGCTAAGGTAGGAGGATTGGTTGAGGCCAGGAGTTTGACACCAGCCTGGAAAACACAGAGAGACATCTCTACAAAAATTAAAAAACAAAAAATTTACCTGGGCATGATGGCATTTGATCATAGTCCTAGCTACTTGAGAGGCTGAGAGGGCAGAATGGCTTGAGCCCAGAAGTCCAAGGCTGCAGTAAGCTATGATCATGTTACTGCACTCCAGCCTAGGTGACAGTGAGAGACACTGTCTCTAAAAAATTAAAATAAAAATTATATAAGAGAGAAATTATAGTATTCTTCTGATTATCTAAGAACTTGCTATTTTAATCTAGATATTCTAGATTTAATCTATTTTATCAATCAAACTATTCTTCAGATCACAAATCACTATGTTTTTACCACATTACTAATCTGAAATATGAACAAACAAGACTGGTTGAGAATTGGGTAGAACAATTATAAAGAAACCACATGAAAAGGTGAGAAAAGAAAGCAGCAGGAAGCTCCAATAAAACAGGACACATTTTTCTAACAATGTTATTATATATTTAATCCATGTTTCTCAGGATGAGATGCTTAAAGGCCTAAAAGTTACTTGGGAGTTTTGTATTACAAAATATCACAATTGATCCTGTTGCTAGATTTCTGCATTACAATTAAATCTAAGAGAAGAAATCTGATTTCTATTAAGTGTTAGGTTTTGTAATGTATTATTGTAAAAGAGGAAAAAATAGGAGTTAATTTAGAAAAATTCTGGGTATATATTACTAGAGTTTTCACTCAATTTGAAATCAGAATGGAAACTAAGGTAGAAGACAACACCACATGACTGCCTTAAAAACAAAAAATACGGCCGGGCGCAGTGGCTCACACCTGTAATCCCAGCACTTTGGGAGGCCGAGGCGGGCGGATCACAAGGTCAGGAGATCGAGACCATCCTGGCGAACATGGTGAAACTCCGTCTCTACTAAAAATACAAAAAAATTAGCCAGGAATGGTGGCGGGTCCCTGTAGTCCCAGCTACTCAGGAGGCTGAGGCAGGAGAATGGCATGAGCCCGTGGGCGGAGCTTGCAGTGAGCTGAGATCTGGCCACTGCACTCCAGCCTGGGCAACAGAGCGAGACTCCGTCTCAAAAAACAACAACAACAACAACAAAAAGGCATGACTTGGGTATATTTCTATTGGGCTTAATTAAATTGACTGAAGTTTGCCTTCAGAAGCTTTTGTTTAACAGTGGTTTTTCAAATAAAATAACAACAAAAAATACATTCTTATTTCCATGTTTTGACAAATGTATCAGTTAGGATTTCGTTCAGCTGCAAGCAACAGAAAAACCAACCAAGAGTAGACTGTATGATTAAGGGACTACCTTTTTTATGTTAAAAAATTTCTGATATGAGGCTGTTGAGGCCTGGTACATGACTCCACGATATCATCAAGAACCCAGAATCCTTTCAGTTTTCTGTTCCACCATTCTTGACTTGTGGCTTTTTTCTGCATGGTCACAAAATATCTGCTCTACCACCTCAAGGCTCATCTATATATAAGGCAGGGGCTTCTTAGTTTATCTCTTTAAAAACGGTGTTTCAAAGTTTCATATCATAACAACTGCTTTCATCTTACTGGTTGAGAATTGGGTCACATGGTTACTTCTAATGGAAAGATGGCTGGAAACCTGAATGTTTTAGTTTTCAAGTCATGATGAAGGAAAAGACAAGAATGAAAGATTGAGAATGGCTTTTGAGTAGCTAGGCCACTGTGTCTGCTTCTATGGGCAAGGAGATAAGGATATTTATAGAAAATATTAATATGTGATTGAAATCATTTCTAAATAACAAGAAGAGAACTTGTTTAGCAAATACTGACATTTATGTGTTATTGTCTGGCCTTATTAAGGCAGATCTTTATCATTTAGTAAGTCCACGTAAAAGTCATTTTCTTACCACTCAGATGGTTTCTCTAAATTGCTGTGCTCCTGCTATGATTTGACCTTTGGCTGAGATGCTTTTTCAAATGCTTTTAGCTAAGCCCTGCATACATCTAGATACTCAACCTTCAGGACAGTACAGATTTCAGCCCAATTACTCCCTTTCCAAGCTACAGCAGGAAAACCAAAACAAATATTACGGATTTGTCCAGTTCTCTTAAGTATCAGCTAGGGAAGCAGGATAAGTCCTCTACATTATGTGGTGATTCTCCATATTAGAATCACCTAGGAAGCTTATAAGATATGCTGATACCCTAATCTTTTTAAGGAGCTCTCTCTAGATGATTCTAACATGCAGCTAATGTGGAAAACTAGGCATTTGGAGAAAGAAAAGAAAAAGCTAGAAATAGCATGTAAAACCTTCAGCATGTTATTGAACCTCTTTAAACTCACTTCTCTCATTGTTACTTACATGAGTTAATCCACATAAGTTTAGTCTGGTGTTTGGCTCACAGTAAACACTTAATAAATATTAGTTATTATTAATATTGTTTTATCAAAGTTCATATTTTTTCATCATTTTATTTGTGAATAAATGGTTTCTCCGGAAGCAAAAAATATATAAAAGCATAGATCTTGAAGGTAGGGCTTGAAGACAGCAAAATTTGGCATTTGAATCCCAGCTTGACCACTTACTAGTTGACCACTTACTAGCTTGACATTGAGCAGGCAAGCATTTGATCTGAGTCTCGGTTTTCTCATCTATTAAATGGGAGTGATACCTCTCAGGTTGTGAAGACTAAAAGATACTATGTATGCTAAAGGATAATTTTCAAAAAAGTAAAATTATGACCCTTCTACAGTTATAAAAGAAACATATGTCAAAGATTTTATTCAACTTTTTAATTACTGAGGGAACCGCTAATATAGTAAGATTTGTTCAAATGAGAATTTGACTTATAGAGCTTTCTAATCAACCAGTCAAAATTTGTTTGCTTTGATATGAATAAGAATTTGCTGCATTGTCAGCAGTTTTCAACAATTTAACAGCTACCTCTGCAGAGCTGCAAAATAACCTAGTCAACAGAAAGTCAAGGTGTGAATTTTTGGAATCAGATAATCCAGGACTCCACTGTAATGCCCAGCACTCCACTGAAAGACACCAGTGATCCCCTTTGCCCATTTCTGAGTCCTGACAAGTATATAAAGCACAAGGCAGACTGTACTTGCCATGGAATCAGTGATGATTACATGGTGGCTGCATTCATTATTCTTGAATAACATGATTATTTACGTAGAAAATCCAAACAAATCAACTAAATAAATGTATTATGACAGGACAATTACAATCATTAAAATTTATCATTACTGTGACTCTTGAGTTCATGCTTTACATTCTTCCCTTCACTGTAAACATACCAGTAACAACGTTTTTAAAAAATATATAAAGAAAAGTCATAGCCACATTCAAAAGCAGGATATAGATCACCTGCAGCACGATGCCGGAACTGAAGACTCAGGCAGCGTAGGCAGCCAAGAGTTGGACTCACGTGGGGTGACAGAGCAAAGCATTCTTCCTAAAGCTGGAAGCAAGGACAGTGTTCCCTTTGCCAGCTCAGTGACTGGATCTCTAATATCCCAAAAGACACCAAGCCACAGGAGTTCAAGCCACCAACTAAGACCATGCCCTGGTCTAGAGATGGTGGGGGGAGAGTTGGTGAAAGCAACCAAAAATTTTATATCAAGGAGTCTTGAAGAGGATGGAGATGAAAACTCCCACACAAGCTCAACCTGCAAATTAAAGTTTCAAAGAAAAGGAGAAAAATTAACCCTAAGAAAGAGCAAATAAACTTGTCCGGGGCATTAATAGTTAACAGAATATGATGCAGAATTGTGGAAGAATAATGACATGGAAAACATGGCAAAAGAAGGGAAACATTTCAGGGGAAGGTAAATGTCTTGAAGACTGATTTGCTCATTTGTGATGAGCTCTCAGCTCCAGCTCCACCCCATGCTTTCTCCCTATTGCAGGGAAGCAGAATCTGCATACGCCAGAGTCTTTTCCAAACTTTCCTTTCAGCTGTCTCTCAAAGAGTATTTGGCATTCTGGGAGGCAGTGGGAGGCACTGGAAAAAACTGGAAATTAGGAGGATTTCTTCTCTTCTGGAAGTAGCTCTGATAAACATGGTGGCAGCAGTGACAGCAGCAGGCAAGACTGAGCCCTGGACATCTGCTCAGGCAACATGGTTCAGACAGTAGATGCAGTAGCAGGTACCCCAACAGCCTCAGCGGGACAGTTTCCCTAGGCTGCAACAGGGACAGCAGCTGATGACTTTGGGATCCTGGATCCCTGTAGCATCAGCAAGAGCGCTAACTCCCTGCTTCCTGTAAAGCAGCTGCAGTGGGGTTCCGGCAGCATCAGGGGCACAATGACTGTGGACTCTGGGTAGCAGCATCTGCCTTTCTGCTTCTCCTGCACTAGTATAGTGGTGACTTCTGGAAGTTACTAATCTCTAGGTAACAGATCTTGCCTCTTTTGCTCCTCCAGCCCTTCCAACATGTTTGCAGCCAGTTTTCTGTCCTACATTCATTCTGTCTGCTGATTCTGATTGCCTGAGGGGACACTGACAGTGTTGGCTATGCCTGCAGAATACAGATGACAGATGTGTTGAAAAATCAGAGAAGCTATGATAGTTAAAGAACTATAATGCCAGCAGAAATTGATCTGTCATGCTAAAAACAAACAAACAAACAAAAACATTACAAATGTGTCTGCGTGTCTGTAGACAGGAGGCTAGAAATGATTTGCTCTGGTTACAGTTGCAGATAATTTTTACTAGGTGAGAACTTCACAAATGCTAGAACTAGCTTACGTAAGCTCAAATCCCAGCTCTCTCAACTTCTATCCATGTAGCATTGGGCAGATTTCTTAATCACTCTCTGCCTCTTTTTCTCTAAATGCAAAGTGGTTGAAATAGTATCTCAAAAAGTTATGGAAAAAAGGTGAGTCAATAAATTTTTAAAAATGGAGAAGAGAGACTGGCTCATGGTGCTCTACAAGTGGTATTCTAAAATGTTTTTCTTTACCCAGATCTTTACTGGTTAAAAAAATAAAAAGAATGAGGCTAATAATTTTTTTTACCAATAAATAAAATGTTTGTTTGTATTTTCTAATTTTAATAAAGGATATATATTATTACTGACCAGAAAAATGTCATTTA